AGCAAATTGCATAGAAATGAAAAGAAAGAAGCGTTCTAATGATCAAAATGTCTTTATCACTGTCTTTGTGAAGTCTCTTCCTTGAAACACAGTTGATAATGATCTGTACGATGAGATATTAACTACTAGTATTTTCCCAGGCTTATTAGTGTTCCCACAATGATATAATATAAATAACTACCATGGTAGTTTATTTGGTTGTTGCCATGGCAATTATAATTGTTATCATCTTGTTACAAATTTCAAAGGTCAACCTATGAACCCTACATACTAATTATCAAAGCAATCAAGCAGGTAGTTTTCAAGAAGTTGAATATAGCTTTTTCTATCTAAAAAGACAAAAATATAAACTAAAAATAGAGAATTGAAGATATCACCACAAAATGGACAAATGTGACAGATGTCCAACCATGGTACCTACATACCAAGTATCAAAGCAATTGGGCCAGTAGTTTTCAAGAAGAAGTTGAAAATATCATTTTTTACTCAAAAAAAACAAAAATATTCACCAAAAAAATTAAAAATATCGTAATTAAATGAGCAAATCTATCTAACAAATGGTACCTACACAGCAAATATCAAAATGTCCGTCAACCATACTAGTATGTGATCAAATAATAGAGAAAATCAACAACAATATTTATTAGACACATAAAATCCATAGGAAAGGATAAAAAGGGTCTTACAAAAAGAAATTTAAAAAACTATAAACTAAAAAAAAAAAAAGTTCTATTCTTATATTAAAATATAAAACAAATCAAAAACAAATATGAATAAAAAAAATACAGAATATAGAATGATCACTAATTGTAACCTAATACACTGATAGTTGTTGCTGTTTTGTTTCATAACTGTTTATTAAGAAGACAGCTAAGGCTGACCAGTGATAGTGTATGGTTTCCCATAATTAATATGAATTTATTCTGACTGTTTTCTTTATCAAAATTTGGAACTTTATTTTGTGCACTCAGAAATAATTTGTTCCTATGATGACTGTAAGCTGGACATTTCATTACAAAATGTTGCTCATGCATATACATTGTATAAGTAATCATACATGATCTATGTATTGTGTTTGAAAGTGTCTGGGCAAAGTGTACATTTTATACATAGTGTTTTGGGTATTGTCATAGACCCTCTAAAAGTCACTGTGATGGCGCTTCTTTGTTGACAGTGTGACATCACGCGGATGTGCTACAGCCGATAAGTAACTAAGTAAAACTAAATAGACAGTAATCCATTCCAAGATACATCGTACATCCAATCCTCAAGCTTCTTTTGATCTTTGCCAGTAATTTCCTATCCCTCTTTTAGAGGGTCTATAGTCTTGTATAGCAACTTGTTTCTATTGCTATTCTATGATTACCGGTACTTGATATCGACTACTAGTATTTACAAGTGTAATGTATTGTTCCATGCTCCATGAAATGATCACTACACTGCCATCTCGCACACCCTGCAGTCTTATGTAGAATTGATTCTACATGTACCTTTGAAATTATTGACTGATAAGCTCATCAGAAAATACCTACAATTGTTTGATTTCATCCATATTAATTTTAGTTTGTAATTTTTTATAAGTTTGTATCACAAGCAGGCCTGCAATGAAATCAGAAAACTGAAAACAAGGCCAAATATCATGTCCAATGTCTTAC